TTGCGTTTATGCCATCCAGTTCTTCATCCGACAACTCCAGGTGTACGTACACCGCAGGGACAGGGGGGGCTGCTGCTGCTGCGGAGGGGCCGGCGAAGATGCTGCAGCAGCAGCAGCAGCAGCAGCAGCAGCAGCAGCAGCAGCAGCAGGGGCCACGTTTCGTTTCCGTCTGTTGGCGCAGAGCGGCAGCAGCAGCACGAAGTGCTGCAGCAGCAGCAGCAGCAGCAGCAGCAACAGCAGCAGCAGCAGCTTTTCAATTTTTGAGTGACTGACTTTTGCTTTCTTTATCTTGAACTTCCATTTCAGCTGTCTGGACAGCTGCTGCAGCTGCTGCAGCACTTGAACTGAACTGCTGCTTCCAGGTGTCTCGACAGGGGCATTTCTCTTGAATAAATCTGCAATTATAAATGCAATTATAAATGCAATTATAAATGCAATTATAAATGCAATTATAAATGCAATTATAAATGCAATTATGAATTTGCATTTTGTTGCTGCTGCTGCTTTTCTGTTTCAAAGAAGAAGGCGGAAAGCTCTGCTTTCGCCTCGGCCAGAGATATCTGCACTGCTGCTCAGAGCAAGCAGCAGCAGCAGCAGCAGCAGCAGCAGCAGCAGCTGCTGCTGGGAGAGCTGAGGACTTCGCTGGTGACTTTGGGGTGTTTCTTGATGGAAAACTTCGAGAAAAGATGTTTAATTTGGAGCCTCGCGACGAAACGCGAAGAGAAAACTTCTGCAAAGTGAAAAAGTGAAGTGCAAGTGGCGGCGGCGGCCTTGTGCAAGTGCAGGTTCAGGTGTCGATACACCTGAAACTCCCAAGTGGAAAGCTGCCCGATTAGCACACTTCCGGCACTCCTTTTTCTTCCCTTTTTTCAGAACTTGTTTATTTTTTGTTTGTTTATCCGGAGAATCAAAAAAAAGGAGCTTTTTCGGCGATTTAGAACGCCGTTTCCACTTTTCAGATTCGCCTCTGAAGTCTCTTGCTGCGCAGTTCGCATCTGCGGAACGCAGCAGCAAAACTGAAGTTGAATTCAATTTGCAGGTCCAATAATTATTTCTTTTGCTGCTCTTTTTCAAATAGTTATTTTTAAATAAAAAGAATTCAAAATAATTCCACAAATTATTTCCAAATTCATCTTTTGAGCAGAATAATGGCAAGTGGAGTCAACCGCACAGTCAACAACTTGCAACCTCACCGATCCCAGAGAAACGCCCCAAACCCTAAACCCTAAACCCTAAACCCTAAACCCTAGAAACCTAGCCACTACCTTTTGGAAGCGAAGTCTGTGGGCTCGTCAGCATTTTGCCTTCGGGATCTAGGATTTAGGGTTTAGGGTTTAGGGTTTAGGGTTTAGGGTTTCCCAGTTGAGCGGCAGCTGCTAAAGGGAAAACAGAAAGTTTTAAAATTGCAGAAGAGCAATTAAACCCTAAACCCTAAAACTGCGGTTTAGGGCTCGGGGTTTACGGATTAGGGTTGATGCAGAGCTTTGGGAGCAATTTATCGCCAAAACACCTACGGGCTAGAGTTTAGGGTTTAGGGTTTAGGGTTTAGGGTTTAGGGTTTATTTGGGCTTCTGAATGCACAAACGGCCTGCAGGATGAGCATGATGGACAACGGAAGTGGCGGCAAGGGCTTAGTGTTTCACATTTAGTAGGGTTTAGGGTTTAGGGTTTACAGCGTAGGGTTTAGGGTTTAGGGTTTAAGGTTTATAGCGTAGGGTTTAGGGTTTAGGGTTTAGGGTTTAGGGTTTGCAGCGTAGGGTTTATTGTTTAGGGGGGTTAGGGTTTGGGGCAAAAGGAAAGTCGACTACAGGTTATTTATTCTTTCCCTTTTTAAATTTATATATTTATTTATATTTATATTTATATTTATATTTATATTTATATTTATATTTATATTTATATTTACATTTATATTTATATTTATATTTATATTTATATTTATATTTATATTTATTTGTATTTATGTTTATTTGCTGCTGCAAAGCTAGATGATGAATCCCAAAGAACAAGTAGTAAATAAAAATAAATAAAAATGAACAAAAATAAATATAAATAAAAATAAATTAAAATAAATTAAAAATAATAAAAATAAATAAAAATAAATAAACAATTTAATTAATTAAAATAAAACAATAAATCTATTCTCCAAGCTGCAGCTCCCTGGGGGCCCCCAGGGGCCCCCTCGTTCTGCTTCGTAGCATCCTAGGGTTTAGGGTTTAGGGTTTAGGGTTTAGGGTTTAGGGTTTAGGGTTTAGGGTTTAGGGTTTAGGGTACCACTGCGAGAATAGTGACTGCGAAGGCCTCCAGGTGGCGCTTCACGAGGGGCAGTTTGGAAGACAGCGCAGCCAAACGTGGCGCGGTACTACGCGGACGCGAACGTAAACCGCCCGAGGCAGTATTGGGATTATTTAGGGTTTAGGGTTTAGGGTTTAGGGTTTTAGGGTTTAGGGTTTAGGGTTTAGGGTTTAGGGTTTAGGGGGGTTTAGGGTTTAGGGTTTAGGGTTTAGGGTTTAGGGTTTAGGGTTTAGGGTTTAGGGTTTAGGGTTTATGCAGGGCGCGGGAAACACCCCCGCGTTGGTGAACAGTTTGTTGACTTCGCTGTGCAACATTTCGCCCTTCTTGCTAAAATGGACTTTTAGAATTTAATTTGCTGCTTTTGTACTGACGAAGCTGCTGCCAGCTGCTGCAGCGGGGGCCCCACCAGGGGGCCTCTGCAACACCCCCCAAGGGTTTAGGGTTTAGGGTTTAGGGTTTAGGGTTTAGGGTTTAGGGTTTAGAGGAGGGTTGATCAAACATTACAAACCCGTATCATAATAACAAAAGCCAGTGGCAGAAGACAAGTGGAAGGGAAACGAGGGTTTATGCATGAGGGTCTGCAACCACCAGGGTTTAGGGTTTAGGGTTTAGGGTTTAGGGTTTAGGGTTTAGGGTTTAGGGTTTGGAGTTCCCTAAATCCTCGCCTTGGGGGGGATTGGGGTGTGACTAGTTATCCCAAGTGGACTGTCAACTACAAACCCTAGACCCTAAGCCCAAAAGTCTAAACCCTAAACCCTAAACCCTAAACCCTAGCGTCCAAACCCTAAACCCTCGAATGCGAAAATGGCTGCAGAAGGTGACGCCATGTTCCTTGAGGTGAGACGTTCGTTAGCATACAGTGCGTAGAATCACAAGGGTTTAGGGTTTAGGGTTTAGGGTTTAGGGTTTAGGGTTTAGGGTTTGGGGTTTAGGGTTTAGGGTTTCGCGATGTTTCTCTTTTTCGCAGCCAGCCTATGCCGCTGGAGTATTTGCTGCTGCTGCTGCAGCTGAACTGCAGCAGCAGCGTGGACTGCCGCTAGCAGCAGCAGCAGCAGCAGGTGCTGCTGCTGCTCCTCTGAAGCTGCTGCAGCAGCAGCAGCAGCAGCAGCACCAATTGTGCGCTGGGGAGCTGCAGCAGATCTGGGGAGAAGCCGCATGCGTGCTTTCGGCAGCAGCAACAAAAACGGCAGCAGCAGCAGCAGCAGCAGCAGCAGCAGCACCTGCTGCTGCTGCTGCTGCTGCAGATAAAGAAGATGCTGCTAGCCTGCTGAGTCTCCTTGCAGACATGGCTTGCAGCAGGCGGGAGGCGCTGCAGCAGCAGCAGCAGCAGCAGCAAATGAACCTGAAAGCAGCAGCAGCAAATCTCTCGCAGTTTGTCCTTGGGGGCCCCTCAGCAGTTCAGCTGCGGGAAGAAACAGCAGCAGCAATGCGCTGCATAGCTCACTTAGCTAAGCAGCAGCAGCAGCAGCAGCAGCAGCAGCAGCAGCAGCTGCAGCAGCAGCAGCAGCAGATGGCTGCTGGTCGTGCTGCTGTCCCTGCTGCTGCGCCTGCTGCAAAGCTTGCGCAGCTGTACCCCCTCCAAGCGTATCCGCAGCAGCAGCAGCAGCAACTGCAGCAGCAGCAGCAACTGCAGCAGCAGCAGCAACTGCAGCAGCAGATACTCCGGCCAGCAATAGCAGCAGGAGGTAAACCCTAAACCCTAATTTCAAACCCCCAACCCCAAACCCTCGAGCATGGAAGCTTATAATTGATGGTCCAGGCCACGCTAGGGTTTGGGGATAAACGCTCACGGCGCGCCGCAGGGTTTAGGGTTTAGGGTTTAGGGTTTAGGGTTTAGGGTTTAGGGTTTAGGGTTTAGGGTTTGCGGCTAGGGTTTGGGACTGCCATGCACGAGCTGAAGCGGCGGCGCGCTGAAGGACTTCCAGAAGCAGCAGAAGCAGTTGAGGCCCTGGAAGCAGCAAAGGGCCAAACCCTAGCTCAGGCGAGGGTTTAGGGTTTAGGGTTTAGGGTTTAGGGTTTAGGGTTTGGGGCTCGAGGATGCAGGGAGAGGCGCACTCCTGCTACGGCTGCTATTGTTGCTACTGCTGCTGCTGCTGCTGCTGCTGCTGCTGCTTCTGTTGGCAGTGCTGCTGCTGCTGCTGCTGCTGCTGCTGCTGCTGCTTCTATTGGCAGTGCTGCTGCTGCTGCTGCTGCGTTAGAGGGTACGTCCGCTTTGGGGTCTAGGGTTTAGGGTTTAGGGTTTAGGGGTTAGGGTTTAGGGTTTAGGGTTTAGGGTTTGGGTTTTTCGCAGCGGAAGGGCACAGACGCCCCCGAACCGCAGGATCTGGCTGAGCACTACGCCGTAAACCCTAAACCCTAAACCCTAAACCCTAAACCCTAGATTGTAGAATACTCTCACTGACGGGCTTAGGGTTTAGGGTTTAGGGTTTAGCGCACTGCTGTTGACCTATCGGATTAAAAAGAGAAATGAAAAAATAAAAAAAATAAATAAAAGAATAAAAATAAATGAAAAAATTAAATTAGATTAAAAATAAATAAAAATAAATGAAAATAAATAAAAGAATAAAAGAATAAAAATAAATAAATTAAATTAAAAATAAAACGCGGAAAGAGCAGCAAATAACAAACCCTAATTCAGGGAATAAAAAGCTAAAAAGCCCAAAACTGAAACTAAACAAAAAAGTAAAAACAAATAAATAAACAAATAAATAAACAAATAAGCAAATAAACAAATAAATAAATAAATAAATAAATAAATAAATAAATAAATAAATAAATAAATAAATAAATAATAAATATAACAATAATTAATTAATTAATTAATTAAATTTCATTTAATTTATTTCAGTCTCTTCTTGGAGGGGAAATTCAAACGGAAATAATTCGCTGGGTTTTGAGCATGAAGGTCACAGTAGACCCCCGAGAAAAAGTATGCTGCTGCTGCTGCTGCTGCTGCTGCTGCTGTTGCTGCTGCTGCTGCTGCTGCTGCTGCTGCTGCTGCTGCTGCTGCTGCTGCTGCTGCTGCTTCTGCTGCTGCTGCTGCTTCTGCTGGTGCTGATACTGCTGAGCCTGCTGTTGTTGCTGCTGCTTTTAAGCCTGCTGCTGCTGCTAAGCCTGCTGCTGCTGTTGCTGCTATGCTTGCTGGTGCTGCTGCTGCTGCTAAGCCTGGCGCTGCTGCTGCTGCTAAGCCTGGTGCTGCTGCTGCTGCTAAGCCTGGTGCTGCTGCTGCTGCTAAGCCTGCTGCTGCAAATGGAATCCTGCTGCTGGGGTCCTGCTGCAGGTGCTGCTGCTGCTAACCCTGCTGCTGCTGCTGCTGCTGCTTTTATGCCTGCTGCTGTTGCTGCTATTCTTGCTGCTGCTGCTGCTGCTGCTGTTACTTCGCCTCTAGGACCTATCAACTTATCAATTGAAGTCAAAGAAATAAAATAAATAAATAAATAAATAAATAAATAATTTTAATAAATAAATTTAAATAAAATAAAATATTTTTATTTGTGCATTTGCTGCAGACAAGTGCCTTCGACATCGTTGGTCTGGAAAGCATAAAGAAGCTCTTGAGGTCGCCAAACCCTAAACCCTAAACCCTAAACCCTAAACCCTAAACCCTAATTGGTGGATCAGCTCTGTCGATCAATCAATAACCGCCTTATTTACCTTTGACTCATCTTTTATTAACTCATTATTTATTTATTTATTTATTTATTTATTTATTTATTTATTTATTTATTTATTTATTTATTTATTTGTTTATTTATTTATTTTTAGAGACAAAATAATAAACCCCGTTTTACGCCCAGACCTCCACGTGGGGCTCCACAAAGCCCCGCGGGGCATTTTGCTTTTTGGGCCCCCAGGAACAGGAAAAGTGAGGGTTTAGGGTTTAGGGTTTAGGGTTTAGGGTTTAGGGTTTAGGGTTTAGGGTTTAGGGTTTGGGGATTTGGAGCTGCGACTGTGCGGGGCTGGCCGGCTGTGTGCTTCCGGAGGTGGGCATTGTGAAGGGTTTAGGGTTTAGGGTTTACGGCTTATGGTTTAGGGTTTAGGGTTTAGGGTTTAGGGTTTAGGGTTTGTTTGCAGACCACGCTAGCCAAATGGATGGCGGCGGAGAGCGGCGCGCGCTTCTTCGAGGTATTCACAAACCCTAAACCCTAAACCCTAAGTGGCAAACCCTAAACCCTCATTCCCTGTCCTCGTAAACCCTAGACACTAAACCCTAAACTCTTAACCTCATCAGCGCCTAGGGTTTAGGGTTTAGGGTTTAGGGTTTAGGGTTTGGCTCGCAGGTGACCCCGTCTTCTGTTATTAGCAAATTTCACGGAGAAACAGAAAAACTGATTAAGGGGCTCTTCAAAGGTACACAAACCCTAAACCCTAAACCCTAAAACCTAAACCCTAGATTTTAAATCCTGAACCCTAAACCCTAAACCCTAGATTCTAAACTCTAGACCCTAAGCCCTAAACCCTCGGAGCGGTTTCTAAGATCTGACTCAGAACGCTGAACCCTCAAAGGCTACTCCAAACCCTAAACCCTAAACCCCAAACCCTAAACCCTAAACCTCAAATCCTAAACCCTAAACCCTAAACCCTTGTTTTGCTCAGTCGCTGCTCTCGAGAGCCCCTCTTTAATCTTCATTGACGAAATAGATTCTCTACTCGGAAAAAGGCGGGAGGTAAGCGCTAAACCCTAAACCCTAAACCCTAAACCCTAAACCCTAAACCCTAAATGTGACTCCTTAGGGCAACGTTTGGGGGCGTCTTTAGATGTTGAAAACTGAGCCGACGAGGCTTCCGCACAGGCCGAGGGTTTAGGGTTTAGGGTTTAGGGTTTAGGGTTTAGGGTTTAGGGTTTGTGTTGTAGAGGGAAGATGATGCGTCTATCCGGATGAAAAATCAACTTCTGCAGATGATGGTCAGCAACTGCGGCTGCTGCTGCTGCTGCTGCTGCTGTTGCTGCTGCTGTTGTTGCTGCTATTGTTGCTGCTGCTGTTACTGCTGTCGCTGCTACAACTGTTGCTGCTGCTGCTGCTGCCGCTTCTGCAGCTGTTGCTGCTGCTGTTGCTGCTGGTGACGTTGCTGTTGCTGCTGCTTTCACTGGTCTTGCTGCTGCTGCTGCTGCTGCTGCTGCTGCTGCAGGACGGATTGAGCAGCAGCAGCAGCAGCACCATTATTGTTGTGGGCGCCACCAACAGACCAGATATGCTAGATGACGTAAGCTGCTGCTGCTGCTGTTGCTGCTGCTGCTTCTTCTGCTGCTGCTGCTGCCCTTGTTCGTTGGCTGCACATGCTGCTGCTGCTTCTGCTGCTGCTGCTTCTGCTGCTGCTGCTGCTGCCCTTCTTCGTTGGCTGCAGATGCTGCTGCTGTTGCTTTCGTTGACTGATTGCTACTGCTGCTTGTGCTGCCACAGGTTTTAATTTGCTGCTGCTTAGAAGCCCTTTTCACTCTAGGGTTTAGGGTTTAGGGTTTAGGGTTTAGGGTTTAGGGTTTCTGTACAGGCAGCAGTGCGGCGCCTGTCTCGGCGTGTTTTGGTGCCGTTGCCCGACGAGGATACGAGAGCAAAAATTATCCGGTAAATCAGGGTTTAGGGTTTAGGGTTTAGGGTTTAGGGTTTGGAGGTGCTGTTTGAAGAATCCAACTAGGGTTTAGGGTTTAGGGTTTAGGGTTTAGGGTTTAGGGTTTAGGGTTTAGGGTTTAGGTTTTAGCGCTGCGTCCGCGGTGCACAGGCAGCTACTTGATTCGCAAACCCCTGCAGGATGCCGGCTTACTGACCAGGTGCGTTGAGGGTTTAGGGTTTAGGGTTTAGGGTTTAGGGTTTAGGGTTTAGGGTTTGGGGTTTGGGGTTTAGGGTTTGGGGTTTAGGGTTTGGCTTGTGCGCGTCTCTCAATATTGACCCCAATCCTTTAGTTAGCAATTCTCATCAGTTTCTTCCTGATTATTTATTTATTTATTTATTTATATATTTATTTATTTATTTGTTTATTTATTTAATTCTTATTTATTATTAATTAATTAATTAATTAATTAATTTATTTATTTATTTATTTATTTATCATTCACGCTTTTATTCGTTTGCTGCCCACCAGCCAGCCATACCTCCATGCAAAAAAAAAAATAAATAAATGAATAAATAAATTAAATAAATCAATAAATAAATAAATGAAATAATAAATAAGTAAATAAATAATAATAAATAATGAGAGTATAAAAAACAAAATAAAATAAATAAAAAAATAAAAACAAAACAAAATAAAGCAAACCACAGCAAAACAAAATGAAATTAAACAAAAGTAATTTGAATTAAATATAAATAAAACAAAACAAAACAAAATAAAATAAAATAAAATAAAATAAAATAAAATAAAATAAAATAAAATAAAATAAAATAAAATAAAATAAAATAAAATAAAATGAATTTTATTTTCAGGAATTAAAATCTCTGAGTCAAAAACTCGAGGGCTGGAGCGGCTCAGACATTCGGGTATTGTGTTCTGCAGGTAATTTAATTTAATTAAATTAATTAAATTAATTAAATTTAATTAATTAATTTAATTTGATATAATTTAATCAGTTTAATTCATTTAATTAAATTAATTAAATTAATTAAATTAAATTAATTTAACTAAGTTCATTTTATTCATTTAATTAAATAGAATTTAAGTTCAATTTAATCAACTTAATTTAATTAATTTAATTTAATTAAATTAATTAAATTAATTTTTGTAGCTAATATAATTAGTTTAATTAATTTAATTTAATTAATTTAACGTATTTAATTTAATTAATTAAATTTAATTTAATTCACCTTGATTAGTTTAATTTGATTAGTTCAATTTGATTTGATTAATGTATTTAAATACTAAATAAATAAATAAATAAATAAATAAATAAATAAATTGGTTCGCTAATTGGGAATATGTTTTCTTGTTTTGTTAAGTGCATTAATTAATCAATTATATTTTTGGGAAATTAATTTTGTTTCTTCCAACTCCATTTTAAATTAATTAACTAAATAATCGCACTTTAAACAAACACGTCAATTATAATTTAAATAAGATAATTAATGATTAACTAATTAATTAATTAATTTTAATTAATTAATTAATTTCACTATAATTAATTAATTAATTAATTAATTAATTAATTAATTAATTAATTAATTAATTAATTAATTAGATTTCAAATAATTGATTAATTCCCAGCAAATCCAACCCCCCAAAAATCCCGCCCCCACCACTTGCCACTCACATGCCATTAATAAATAAACAAACAAATAATTAAATTAAATAATTAAACAACCAATTGGCCAATTAATTAATTAACTAATTAACTAATTGATTTAATTAATTAATTAACTAACCAATTAATTAAATAATCAATTATTAAATAACTAATTAATTAACCAATTAAACTAATTAATTAATTAATCAACTAATGAACTAATTAATTAATCTATCAAACTAATTAATTAATTAATTAATTAATTAATTAATCATTTAACTAGTTTATTTATTTATTTATTTATTTATTTATTTATTTATTTATTTATTTTTTATTTGTCAGCTGCGGACAAAAGTTACGACGAGGCGTTGGAGGCGTTTGGGGATATTCGCAAAGTGCCGAGCGTTTTGAGTTTTCGGCAAATTACCCCTGCAGACTTTGCAGAGGCTTTATTGCGGGTAAGAAAAAGAAGTCCATTTGAAGTCTTTTTTTTTCTTTTTTGAATTTCTCGGCTTCTTTGGCTCCTTTTTTTCTCTTCTTTCTTCCATTTCACTCCGCCTTTTGTCTTCTTTTCATTTTTCTCTTTTGTTTTCTTTTATTCCTTTTTATTTCGCTGCATTTCCCCTTCATAAGCCTCAAATTCGCTTTCTTTTCGTTTTCCCAGCTCGTTTGGCCCTTTTTCTCCTCTTCTTTCTTCTATTTCATTTCTCGTTTTTCCTTCTTTTCATTTATTCTATTTTTTTCCATCTTATTCCGTTTTTTATTCCATTTTATTCCATTTTATTCCATTTTATTCCATTTTTTATTCCATTTTATTCCATTTTATTCCCTTTTACTCTGTTTTAAAGTTCTCCAAATTCGCCTTTTTCATTCTCTCGGCTTCTTTGACTCCATTTTTTCTCTTTTTCTCCCATTTGGTCTTTCATTTTATTTCTTTTTTTTTAATTTCTTTTCCAAATTCTCTTTTCCTCTTTTTCTTCCACTTGGTCTTTTATTTAATTTCCATTTATTTTTTTAAATTTCTTTTTCAAATTCTGCAAAGTCCCCAAATTCGTCTTCTTCTGCTTTAAATCCCTCTTTGACTTCAGTGTTTTTCAACTTTTATTTTCTCCATTTTTTTGTTTTTTTTTATTTTTTAAAAATTCATTTTTTTTGGCTTTTTGAGCCCTTTGGAGTGTCTAGACAGCTGGCCCCGCGTTGTTCTTTGCTGCCTTTTGTTTTATTTCTTTTTTGATTTTATTCTTTTCCCTTTTTGTCCAACCCTAAACCCTAAACCCTAAACCCTAAACCCTAAACCCTAGGGCATGCCCCAATTTCAGTATCGGATCTGCGCCATTTGGCACTTCTTTTCTTTCTCTATCAATTCAATTAATTTGATTTAATTGATATAACTAAATAATTAAATAATTAATTGATTTATTTATTTATTTATTTATTTATTTTATTTAATTTAATTAATTTTATTTATTTTTTTACTTTCAGGTAAAACCCTCTTCTTGCGCCATGGAGAAAGAACTGGCGAAGTGGATGGAAGAACATGGAGTCAAATGAAATCAAAATATTTTATTTGTTTTTAATTAATTAGTTAATTAATTTAATTAATTAATTAATTAATTAATTAATTAATCATTAATTATTAATTATTATTTATTAGTAGTTCCTTAGTATTGATTTATTTATTTATTTATTTATTTATTTATTTATTTATTTATTTATTTATTTATTTTGGGAATTTCCTTTTTTGCGTTCTGAAGACTTTCTGCGGCATCGAATTGACAAATTAATTCCTTTTTTTATTATTCTTTTTATTAACATCATTTTCTATTTATTAGTTGTCATTTATTATTATGTATTTTTGTTATTTATTATTTATTTATTTATTTATTTATTATTTATTTATTTATTTATTTATTTGTTACTTACTTGTAGAGCACTTAGTTGAGGCTCGTGGGGCACCCAAAAATAAAATTAAAAGACAAATAAATAAATAAATTAATTTTAAAAATAAATAAAATGATTTAATTCAGAAACGGACAAAAAAGAAAACAAGAGACATTTGCGCCCCAATGCAGCAGTTGCTGTACCTGCTGCTGCTGCTGCTGCTGCTGCAGTGCAGCAGCAGCAGCAGCTGCTGCTGCTGTAGCTGGTGCCGTAGATGCTGCTGCGGCAGCTGCTGTTACTGCTGCGGCAGCTGCTGTTACTGCGGTGGCAGCTGCTGCTGCTGCAGCCGCTATTTTTGCTCCAGCAGCAGCAGCTGCTGCTGCTGCAGCAGCTGCTGCTGCTGCAGCAGCAGCTGCTGCTGCAGCTGCTGCTGCTGCAGCAGCTTTGCTGCTGTATTACAGCTTAGTGTTCCTCCTTTACGTCTTTTGCTGCGGCACCTGAACAAAAGTAAAGAGATGCAAACAAAAGCAATCAGCAACAGCAGCAGCAGCTGCTGCTGCTGCAGTAGGAGCAGCAGAAATAAGTGCTGGTGGCAGCAGCACATGCAGTAGCAGCAGGAGGAGCTGCAGTAGCAGCAGCAGAAGTAAGTATAAACTGCAGCAGCAGCAGCAGAGATAAGACATAATGACAGCAGCAGCAGCAGCAGCAGCAGCAGCACACCATGGACAAAATTTTTATTTCTACGCGAGGCGAAGCGTGTAAAAGCAGCAGCAGCAGCTGCTGCTGCTGCTGCAGCAGCAGCACCCCAACCCTGCTGCTGCTGCTGCAGCCGCTGCTGCAGTTGCTGCAGCGGCAAGAGATAAATTAAAGCAGCAGTGCAGCAGAAACCTAAGTCCAAACACAACAAACCCTAAACCCTAAACCCTAAACCCTAAACCCCAAACCCTTAAGCCAAGACGGGCAGAGCAGGCATTGCCTTTCCGAATTGCAAAACGAGGGTTTAGGGTTTAGGCTCAGGGGCTAGGGTTTTAAGGCTGCCAAGGGTTTAGGGTTTAGGGTTTAGGGTTTAGGGTTTCTCACCAAGGCCGAGGATAGTCGTATAAGAGAAAGTAGCAGAATGCGCCTCAGCCCTAAACATAAAATGAATAAATAAATAAATAAATAAATGAATAATAAACTAACAAATAAATAAATAAATAAATAAAATTAATTAATTAATTAAAATAAATAAATAAATAAATAAATACAAATAACTGATAAAACATATAAATAATTAAATGGACGAACAGACAGAAGGAATAAATATGTTGGTAAAGCAATAAAGGAAAAGTAAACAAGTAAGAAATAAATAAATAAATAAATAATAATAAATAAACAAATAAATAAATAAATCATGAAGCATAAACATATAAATGAACAAATAATGCGAATAAATAGATAGATAAATAAACAAATAAGAAAAATAAATAAATAAATAAACAAATAATGGAAAATAAAAAGATAAATAAATGAACAAATAATGGAAAATAAATAAACAAATAAACAAATAATGAAAAATAAATAAATAAATAAATAATGAAAAATAAATAAATAAATAATGAAAAGTAAATGAATAAATAATGCAAAATAAATAAATAAATAAATAAATAATAATAAAAAGTAAAAATACCGATTATCGCACTGAGTTGTATTTGGCTCGAACGGCGTTTTTTTCAAAGCGAAAAATATTCATTTCTCTGTTCATTATGGACCAATTGAGAGATTTTTTTTACTATTTTCTTTTTTAATTATTAATTTAAAATTATTAAATTAATTAATTTCTTTATTTACTCTTCAAGTTTGTTATTTGCTGCATTGCATGCGGCGAAGGGGCCCCGTGCTTTCCCCCCCATGCACTTCTGAGCTGTACGTACACCCCAAAAACGCCAAATTTGCGCCTTTTTGGCCTTTTTTTCGCTTCTTTTTGCATCAAAACATTTCAAATGCAAATTCGAGTTTTAATTTGATACAATTGGCGCAAAATTTCCGCAAATTTGACGCATTTAGACCCCCGACTGAGCTCGGGCAAACGCCCAGGTGTACGTACACCGCAGCGGCAAAGCCAAACCCGAACAGTCCGACGCCGTCACTTCGTGCAAAAGTCCCTAAAGGCAATTTACAAATAAATAAATAAATAAATAAATAAATAAATAAATAAATAAATAAATATAAATTAATTAATTAAATAAAAATAAATAAATAAATAATTATTTAAATACTTGATAAGGCGTGTGAGCAGCAACAGCAGCAACAGCAGGCAACAGCAGCAGCAACAGCAGCAGCAACAGCAGCAGCAACAGCAACAGCAGCAGCAACAGCAGCAGCAACAGCAGCAGCAACAGCACAACAAGAACTCATAGGAGAGTACAAGGAAAGACTTTTAAAATAAACCAAATGCAAACTGCACACAAAACCCAAACCCTAATTAAGGGTTTGGAACGAAGCCACACTATCAGTGTTTAAAGACAAGAGAATTGATCTAATTGCTGCTGCAGTACTTTCCGATTAAACCCTAAACCCTAAACCCTAAACCCTAAACCCTTCAAATGCTCACCCTGAAGGTATATAATACATAGAGAGACACATCTCCGCCGCTCAGCTGCAACACAAACCCTAAACCCTAAACCCTAAACCCTAAACTCTAAACCCTCCTCAACCCTTGGGAGCTCGGTTTCAATTCCGCCTTCGATACCCTCTTCGCCAAGACTAAACCCAAACCCTAAACCCTAAACCCCTAACCCTAAACCCTAAACCCTAAACCCTCACCAGTGGCGCTGGATTATAAAACCCTTTTAATTGTTCAAAAGAAGAAGATGCCCCTCCAGCAAAAACAAAACGGGAGTTCTCGATCTGGCACTGAGGCGTACGCACATCACTTAAACCCTAAACCCTAAACCCTAAACCCTAAACCCTAAACCCTAAACCCTAAACCCTAAGCTCTAGTCCGTGAATCCTAAGGCTCAAGGCACGTTTTGCAGAAGCTCTCCCTTTAGGCCTTTCGCTGTACCTCCAGTTTTGGCGGTTTAGGGTTTAGGGTTTAGTGTTTAGGGTTTAGGGTTTAGGGTTTAGGGTTTAGAGCACCTGTAGGGGAATTGTTACGTCGATGTAAGGGCCCTCAAGGTGCTGCTCCTCAACCACCCCTACAACATAAACCCTAAACCCTAAACCCTAAACCCTAAACCCTAAACCCTAAACCCTAGAACACTTGTAAGAAGCAGCTCCGCCTAAACGGACCGCAAAAGAATTTTTCGAGCTAGGGTTTAGCATTTGGCCCTAGGGTCCAGGGTATGGGATCAGGGTTTAGGGTTTAGGGTTTAGGGTTTAGGGTTTACCGATTTGCTGCTGAGCCAGAAAGCACGAACGAATTCGGAGGTTTCCGTAGAGGGCGCGCAAAACCACCAGACCTGAAAAACGAGGGTTTAGGGTTTAGCGAGGGTTTAGGGTTTGGCGAGGGTTTAGGGTTTGGCGAGGGTTTAGGGTTTGGCGAGGGTTTAGGGTTTGGATTTAGTGCCTCTAGAATTCAAGCCAGCTGCTAGTGCATTAGGTGGTTAATTAGGGTCTAGGGTTTAGGA